CCCCAGGCTCCCTACCTGCAGGTCCTGCCGGCGGAGGGCAGCGACCTGGGCACCCTCTGCTCCTGCTGCAAGTAATGTCTGTTTTGGAGCGCTGGAGGCGTGGGCAGGGGGCCCGCACTTGCCCCCCGGCCCTCTGGGCTCTGCTCCCTGGGGCGCCGGTGCCTGGGCTGGCACCCAAGAGCCACTTCCCGTGGCAAACATCAAAGCAAAATCGGAAAACTCAAGACTTGTGTAAAAGGGTGTACTCCAGAGTGGGTCTGGTGGACCTTCCCGCAGGGAGGGTGTGCGAGCACTGGGGTTCGGTCCTTTCCTTCACCCCCTTGTCGTGCACATGGGCACATAGCCTTTCTTACGTTTGTTCCCTTCTGTTCTGCTAAACACCTCTGTTTTCTGCACGTTGCTTGAAATGAATTCTATTTGGGTTGTCTTACGGTGCGTTGGTAATATGCAGATGGCTTCTACCTTTTGATCCAAGCCAAGTGGCGCCTGCTGTAGCCCTTCGCCCCAGACAATGGTTTCGTCAGGCTTTGCTGGGCAGCAGCAGCGGAGGCAGAGGTGTATGGCACACTTTATGCCTGGTGAACATTTGCAGGTCAGTGACTTTGGTTTTGAAAAACAATAATGCTTTTGTCTTATAGTTCCTTTAAAGGGTCGAAGCTATCCTTATTTTCCAGCACATGCCTGCTTTCATTTCCTTCGTGCAAAGACTAATCATTGACGGAGGGTTGCCATGTGTGGCATAACTGGAGGGCTGGAAGCTTAGGATAAAGCAGCCACGTGGAAACATGAATTTGTGGGTGGAAAAGAAAGATGACCAGTGCCTCCCAACCAGGTTGTGAGGCAGTTGTGGACAGAAAATCAATTTCTCTACTGGTGGCAAATCCATTTGAGAAAGTTCCCGTGTGCTCCCAGCTGTTGTTTCCACATCCAGATCTGGAAAATTTCACTTTTTCAAATGGTACCAAATGCCAAAGCAGTTGTGTGCTATGCTATGAATTAACAAGTGGATGGAAATGATAAGCTGTTTCTTTTTATATTTCTATTTTTGATAACTAATTGTGCTTACAAGGGAACTTTAACAACTCCAGTCTTGTTAGTTGTAGAAATGTTCCTTCAGTATTTGACAAAAGTGTGCATAACATTGCGGGTTTTTTGCAAAACTCAGAAAAAATATCTGTTTTTGTAAACACTACTAAGTGAAACAAATCCAAATAAAGAACAGCATGTAGGCTGACAATTATAATCACACTAGAGCACTGCTCCCAACATATGAATGCTTAAGTTATAACCTTAGAGCTGACTTTAAATCTTCCTATTTTTCTCTGTATTTGAAAAGTGGTGAATTCAGCATTGCATGTAATTACTCACCAAATCTGCCCCTGACATCTGTACTTCATTTTCTGTACATTAAAAAGTTCTGGCAATTCCTACAGGTAAATTTTGACAGCAACATTTGTACAGAAGTGCAGATGTATGTCACGGATCCTACTTCTTTCTAGTCTTACCCGAGATGAGACACGTCTCATTCAGTAGAGATCTACAGAGAAGGTGGGTGGAATGGTTCCTGTGCTTGGGAATGTCTAGAACACGTTAGAGTCTTCAGAGGTGAATGCCCCTGTGCAGTAACTTCTGCACTACTGTCTATCAAGACTAAGGGAGAAGGATTACTATGTAGGAGCAGAAGTTTCCTTGTCATGGTCTGAAATAATCTTGATGGGCATTTGATACATTTTAAGTAATGTTTCAACATTTCTTATAGTGTATTTTATTATGAAGTTATATTCTTGCTTTATGTAGTGCCATCTTCTTGATATGTTTTGCAATGATGAAAACTAAAATGTAGAAAAATAAATGACTGTCAGTGCTGTCAACTGGATCCTTCCAGAGCTGAATGTAAAACATCACTTGTATGCTTTCCCAAATTCAAAAAAACCACCCCAACCTAACCAGTGTTGTACTCCAGTTTGGCATTTATGAACCTTTATAGATCAAAAAGTTGATGTCTCAGAATTTCAGTATGGTGGACTTACTTAATTTTTGTTTTAAATCAGAATTTTGTGCTGCATGTGGGACAATGCTAGAAAGGCTTAATCATATCTTAATCCTCACTCAAAAAAAATCCTTTCTTAAACTCAGAAAAAAAACAGTAATGTACTCCAGTTGGGTGTTTATGAAGCTTTATAGCTCAAAAAGATGGTGAATTTCAGTATGACGGGCTTAATTTTTGTTTCAAGTTAAAATTGTACATTATGTTTAGGACAATGCTGGTCTTATTCATATGATGAGTAGGACTCACGCTTCTAGAGTAGGACTCTAAGGCTTCCTATGAAGCCTTAGGACAAGGCTTACTTGTATGAAGAGTCCTCACTTATGATTTAATGTGATTGCCTTCAGAGGTGCTGTTAGAGGTCCATTTTACATACAGGTGAGGTAGGAAGTCATCCAGATGACAGAGTGCTAGAGCAGCAAAATTAAGTGGCAAAGAAGGAAACACAGCCTGTTGGTCTTGCATCAGTGGCTACAGTGGGTCGACACTGATGACTTCCACATGCTCTGATTGCCCAAAATTTGGACAACAATCCAGTTATTCCAAAAATTGCCACCCAGCTGCCTCTTTGGCTGCAGGAATGGTTTCACTGCTGGCAACTCTAGCCTCTGCTGCTCAGGGAAGTCACCCAGCAAAGAGGTTTTTGAAGCCAGACTATGTCCTGTCCTTCCTATTTCTGGAGTCTTCGGATTCTGGAAGTGTGTTACTTGGAGAGGAATGTGATCGGGCAGGCACAGAGCCTGATGAAGTGCCGAGGCGCTGAGGCCATAGCCACATTGCACTGGGTCTAGCAACCCTCTCAGTCTTGGTACGCAGAGCTCCTTGGAGCAGGTGGCATTAACTTTTCCACTAAACCAAGGCAGAAGTATTTCTTTCTCTTGAGATTATTTTTCTTTTAAACTTTTTACATTGCTCTTCTTACTGTAATAAACAGAATCATTGAAAGCAGGAGTTACCCAGAATCTCCTTATTTTTGTAAACTTTTTTAAATTTTACTCTTATTTTCATGTATCTTACTCTTGTTCACCCTCCAGGCAAACTGTTTTTTGGATGGAACAGTTCTGGAAGTTTGTTGCAACTGCGGTAGCTATGTTGCCCAACTTCCCTTTTGCTCTCTCTTGTTGCATTTTAAATTGTGCTTTATACTTCTTGCTGTTCTTCAAACTGTTCAAACATACATTTCCAGCTGGAGCAAAGAGGTGTATTTCTCTTTAGCAGAGAGACTGGTGTATAGCATTGAGTCATGCCATGTCTGGCTCTGACGGGAACTGATAAAATCCCAGCCTCCTTGAAATTAAAAATTGACTAGTACAGGTGTTTGGTGACCACCATGTTTGATTTATCAGATGCATTAAAATCCATATGTCACTTTGATTGCTCAAAGTGTTGACTGGCATCTACTCATGGCATTTATGAACTAGCTAAAACGAGTAACATAGAAGGATGTTACTGTAACCTTTAGACATCAACAAACCTTATGCCAAGCATTCTTACTAGCTTATTACATCTGCATGAGGCGAACAAGGGATTTTACTAGCATGATTGTGAAACAAGATATGAAAGGATCTCTTTTCTGTCTGAGCTCAGATGGTTGGATAATATTTTGTTTTATTAGGATTTTATTATAGTTTCTAGCTTCCCAGGATCAGCACAGTCTTGATCTGACTGGGAGGAGAATGTGCAGCCATCCATCTAGGTCAAATGAAGGTCAGAAGATGTCTTACTGGCTTTTGCTAATGAAGGGTAGACATGAATGGTTTTGTTCCTGGTTGAGCTACAAGAAGAGCTTTTTTAATTGGTTAAATTCCAGACTCTCCCTCCTGTGGAAATATTAAAAAAAAAAATCTGTCCAGGAAACATAGGAAAACAAAACATTCCCCGGACTCCACACACTGTTGCCCAGCAGACACTGCGGGTGTGTTTTCTGGGACAGCTGGGCTCCAGCTCCCAGCTGAGTTGTGGGTAGTTTGGAAGTCCTCAGCCCCTTTGCTTCAGGCACTCTTTTGAGGGTTTGCAGGTTTTCTCAATCAGAGGTGGTAATGCACTTTGATTTGAACAAGGAGGAAAGCATCTCTCCTTGAATTGCTGGCAGAGTCTTTCAGGACTGGGGATCCTGAAGTTCTCTTGGGTGTGATAGAAAGGTATCAAACCCACCATGCTTCCATGGAAACATTTAAGGCTCAAAAAATATTGCTAGCTGTTGAAAACCCTTGACTGTTGGAGAACATCTATCCAAAGGTGCTGGCCATTAACAGTCACCCAGAAGAGACTTCTCTCTTCCTCTGAGGTATCAGTGTAGTGTTAGCCTGTACTCGTATATAGCCGCTCCGTTTGGCCTGGGTGGGACAGAAGCATGAGCAAGAGCAGAAGGGAGAGGTCTAACTGGGGGAGCCGTGATCTGAATCCTGTGGGAGACAAGTCAGAATGAAGGGCTTGAACTTGTGGATTTCCATCTTGCTCTCTAGGCGGCAGCATTTGTTTTCTT